CCCGCCACGGCCCCGCCGCCGCCCCGGCGGGCAGGAAGGAGGTGAAGATCGTGATCGTCGGGGACGGCGGCTGCGGGAAGACATCGCTGCTCATGGTGTACGCGAAGGGCGCCTTCCCCGAGGTGAGCCCGGGACTGGGCTTTTTCAGGGGATTTTTCCTTTTTAGTTTTTTTAATTTAATTTTATTTTAATCTTTCCTGCGTGGGGCACCTGCAGCAGCACCAAAATCCCCCCGCCGTAACCTGCGGCCGGCGGAGAGGCCACAGGCTTTCCCCCAGGACGGGGTAACCGCACTTGAAGGCTGGGAGCAGGAGTGGGCAAAATCCCCTAATCCAGGGTGACTCGGGAAGGAGGCCGCCCCAGCGAAGGGGCCCTCATGATGTCAGGGTTGCACAAGCGCTACTGCCCAGTACCCAGAATTATTCTTATTATTTTCCCTGTGTTTGCAGCAATACGCACCGTCTGTCTTTGAGAAGTACACCACCAGCATCACGGTGGGCAGCAAGGAAGTCATCCTGAATTTGTACGATACCGCAGGTAATGGCGATTTTCTTTCTTTCTTTCTTTCTTTCTTTCTTTCTTTCTTTCTTTCTTTCTTTCTTTCTTTCTTTCTTTCTTTCTTTCTTTCTTTCTTTCTTTCTCTCTTTCTTTCTCTCTCTCTTTCTCTCTTTCTCTCTTTCTCTCTTTCTCTCTTTCTCTCTTTCTCTCTTTCTCTCTTTCTCTCTTTCTCTCTTTCTCTCTTTCTCTCTTTCTCTCTTTCTCTCTTTCTCTCTTTCTCTCTTTCTCTCTTTCTCTCTTTCTCTCTCTCTCTCTCTCTTTCTCTCTTTCTCTCTCTCTCTTTCTCTCTCTCTCTCTTTCTCTCTCTCTCTTTCTCTCTCTTTCTCTCTCTTTCTCTCTCTTTCTCTCTCTCTCTCTCTCTCTCTCTTTCTCTCTTTCTCTCTTTCTCTCTTTCTCTCTCTCTCTCTCTTTTTCTCTTTCTCTCTTTCTCTCTCTCTCTCTCCCTCTCTCTCTCCCTCTCTTTCTCTCTTTCTCTCTCTCGTTCTCTCGTTCTCTCTCTCTTTCTTTTCTTTTGCATTTTTTTTCCAGTTCCCAAAACAACAAACAGCAATAGCCAGTGTCTCCAAGACCCCTCTGCGATGGGATCATGCTGGGGGACTGGCTTGAGACTGAACCCAGGCTCAGTGCCAAGGTTTTCCTGTGATATGAACGGTGATATAACATCAGAGAGCTAAGCAGAAACTGCTTTCACCTTCACAAAACACCGTTCCCATGAACATGCTGAATTGGAGTGTTTATTCCAAAAGATTTTGCTGTGTCAAGTTAAAACAGACTGATGCTGGAAGATTGCAAAACTGGATGTGCTTTGATACTGTTTTATTTATTTATTTATTCTTCTAGCATGCTTCTGGCTTAGTATAACTGTTAAAACTATTACTGATTTAAATACAACTTTAAAACAACAACCATTACCAATTTAATGCAAAAATGTGCCTGTCAGGGAACAAATAGTCACTGGTCTAATGGGTTTGCAGTTCTAGCTGTGGATTTGCTCTTTATCCTAACAATGCAGTTTATTAGGTAAATCACATTGAATAGCATACATATCTGGAGGTATTAAAATCTAGTTCCCAGATGCATAGTGTAAAATAATCAACCGAGAAAATACTTTAATCTCCTGCCATGTGTGATCAAACAGTAAAGAAGAGGGGAAAAAAAAAAGGCTAGTTAGTGTTCAAATCAAAAAGGCCATAGTGTTAAAAGCTGCTTGAAAATGCTGGTAGCTTGTTTGGGTTCCTTTCAGGAACTTGTGAAATGGCTTGTGTTCAACTTCATTCACAATTTTTGTCACATTTCTGAGACACAGTTGTCCAGCTGCGTTTCTAAACGAACCCTAAAATCGACACACACACTCCATTATGGCTCAGTGTAAATCATGTTTGTTTCAGTTCAAGCCTGTGGAGTTGTTCCAAATTTATGCCAATATAAATAAGAAAGGAATGTGGTTCATACTCATTTCTAACAGTTATAAAACACACTTATCTTCTTACATTCTTTATTTGATATCGGAGTAGATAATTGTAAAGGTTCTTTAATATAAAAGTGAATTTTATAGCTAATTTTTACTGCTGCGCAGTAAGATTCTGGGCACCCAAACCTGTCAGTATTTCTTTCTGTTTCTAATGTTGCTTTTTCGTGACTCCAGTGATTTGGATAATCCAGCTTCTACCAAATGGCAAGGCTTTTGTGTTTGCTCTAGATCTTAAGAGAGGAGCTAAAATGTAGTCTGAGCAACCAAACAGGAATTTCCTTGATACAGTGCTTTGGCATAAAGACCTTACCACAGTGAACTTGTTGAGTTTTAATGTTTGCTCACTATCAGTGTGGGATTTTAACTTGTCATATAGTTTGTGATGCTGGGCTGTCTCTCATTTAAAATCACTTCCAGCGTTTGCCATGGGAGACTTTTCAGGCTGGATTCAGAAGGGGCACTAAGCTAAACGTTGTGACCTGGCACCGTAAGCCTGACGCAGGCCCCGACTCCTTGCACAGGTAGTTGGGCTGGAGAGTGCCCGGAGGTGCCCACGCTGGTGGTTCCTCTCGCCCTGTTGCCTCCTTTAGGCTGTAGCTCAGCAGAAGGTGCCTCCCTTCCACGTGAGTTTTGCTGCCTTGAAGCTGGGGATGGAGTTATTTTGTCTCTCTCAAGACGCTTCAGGAAGGGGAGATGTCACTGCTGCCTCACTGCTGTGAGAGCCCCTACCCGGGAAAGAGCAGTTGCCTTCCATCTCATAGGGAGAGCTTGAAACCCCACATTTTTCACCTCCCAAAATAGTACTGTGACCACCAGCCTACAGACAGGCTGCTGACAGCCTCTCCTCCCTTCCTGTTGGGTTTCTTTTGCTTTGCAGACAACTCAAGGGTCTGTGGTGCCCAGCGAGGGAGATGTTGCTTTCATGGTTACAGCATCTGCCTGGGAGGAGGAAAGACTTGAGCTGTGGTCCTGCACCAAGGTTGCTCACCCAGCCATGTGTTTCACACTTGGTAATTCAAGCAGCATCTCACCCTCTTCCTCAGCTTGGAAGCTAGGCTAGGGGAAGGACTCTTCTGAGCACACATTTTTTAATCCCATCCTGTTTTTAATAAAACAAAACTGACGTTGCTCTAAGATGAGGACCAGGAATTGCTCCATCTCCTCTATATTCAAGGAGGAGAAGACTAAGATGAGGACCAGGAATTGTTCCCATCTCCTCTATATTCAAGGAGGAGAAGACAAGTACAGGGGACATCCAGTTCAGCAGCACAGAGCTGCTGTCCCCCTCACTTCAGTCTGGAGAGGGGGATGCAGTCATGGGATCTGTTGCACTGCTGCCTTGCCCTGTTGTATGATGCAAATAGGGCTCGTTAGGTTACTCCCAGCCGGGTAATGATGCTCTGGGCGGGTGCTGGGTAGAGCAGCAATTACAACTTAACGAGGAGAACAAGTAAGTGTGCAATAGCTTGCTGAAAGCAGCGTGGTGGTTTAGCAGTACAGCACATTGGCTGCATTTCATTAATTTTCTTCTGACTTACTGAACTGCTTGAGTTGTTTTTGCACTTCCATAAAAAATCTAAGTGAGCTTTACCTTTGTATATTGCTTCTCACTCTGAAAAGTTCCCAAATGATCCATAGTATCCTAAAATCGTTAAAATGAGATGAGAAAGAAATAAAAGCATATCTAAGGTGAACAGCTCCAGCTAACCATTGTGCAGCGGTGTAGAGGAGGAGAAAATAAGTATGTTCTTCTAAAAAACATCACTAGATCTTCATCATTCACCCTCAGCAGAAAAATTTTGGTATCTTTAGGATCTTGCCAAGAGCAACAGTAAATAGAGCTCCAGTATCATGGGAAGATAAAGGACAGATTCAGCTCTGTGACTAGTAAACCTCTGGTTTGACAGGATTTTTGAGCGCAGGCATCAGATGTGGGTCTTTGAGCTTGTCCTGCTTGCTTAGGGAGAAGGACACGGTGCCTGTAGGATTAAGCATTTCAAGCTGTAGATTTTTTTTTCCTTGGCAAGTGTTTTGATAACAACTGAAGTTGATGAACTAATCTAAAATATGCTACAATAATAGTTTTTTTTTTGAAAGGCTTGTATTATGACACTCTAATGTTCCTCAGAGACACCTCTTGCTCTTGCAGGAAGCTGGCTATACACACGCAATCTATAAAGACTTTGCAGTGTCAATTATCTTGTCTGCAAACTGCAGCTGTTTATTCAATTAAAAAATTCCATTTCTCACTGCGCTTGATGGAGACAAAGGAATTGCAAGGTAAATTAACTTTGTAATTGTTTACAGACGACAGGAACAGTCTAATAATGCTGCTGCCTCAGCTGCCGTTCAGTTGTGCTGGGTGAAAGGCTTCTCGGAACACGGGAAGGAGCTGGAGCCGGGTGGGCTGCGGAGGAAGCAGCGCCGCATCGTGTGGGCACTCGCCTGGGCTGCAGGAAACGCAGCAGGGCTCTTCAGAGTGACAGATGTGCCACCACGTGAGGCCTGCAGAGAAAGGTGAAAGGAAGCTGAGTCATTAGTCATAACTTTGAAAGAAAGAGGGACAGCCCAAGGAATTAAAAGTACTCACTTTTTAACTGAATCACGGCCCTGTCCCACTCATCTCCCAAGTGTCCCCTTCTCCTAGTTTTATTCCTGCCAGCAAGAAAGTTTTACTGTTTTGTTCTAACCAGAGTAGCACAGAAGCTTAGCTGCAGGCTGGCAACCCTGCTATGACTCGGAGTCTGCAGAAAGACAAAAGAGAATTGAGAGCATTTCCTTGGTCTGTATGGCCCTACACCGCATGGTGACACGCTGGTTTGAAATACTGCGTGTACTGTATCTAAGGCAACATACTGACATATATAGGAAGTGGTTGGCTGGCCTGGACTAGGTGACAGGATGTTACAGTGTTCCTTCTGCCTGGCAGTTGGTGGCAATGGAGAGTGTTGCTGTTTGTTAGAGAGCAGCACTAATCAGGAAGCTGCTAGACAGCCATGGTTAGCAGTGACGAGGTGGGACACTGCCCCCTTCCCAGTGACCCAGGGTGCCTGAAGAGATTTAAATGTCCTTGCGGGCAAGAGGCTGCTGAGTCCTTCACAGCTCGAGCGCTGCCTCGGGTGGAGCTTTGGTGGCGGGCAGAGGAAGAGCAGACACCAGCAGCCTGGGAAATCTAGATCTGTGGTTTCGCCGCTTCCCCCGGCCTCAGCCATCGCCTGAGGTCCCGCTCCTCCCTCGGGGTCAAGCGGCAGAGCCCTGTGAGGGATCCAAAAATCCATAAAACGCCACGGTTTGCTAGGCTGCAGTGCGCTGAGAGAGGCCGGAGGAGAGCGGCAGGTGCGCTCAGGCCTAGCTCTGTTTGCCCACTTCTTTCACAGGATGGTTCCAACTGGGGACGGAAAAGCGCTCGAAGGAACACACGGCAGGGTTGCATGGATGCTCACTAAGCACTTAGCTTCAGCCCTCGTCCTTTGTTTTAAAACTCTTCTAGTAGAAGACCCAAATCTGCCAAATAAACTGGGGCCACAGATTGAGCAACATTAAAGATAAAGTCTCCCAAGCGCTTTTTTCTTTTTTTTTTTGTATTTGCACCAGCAGTTCTTAAGGAGAGGCTGGGAAAGGAAATATTTTCAGTTTAGTTCTTGGAAGAGAGCTGCTGATGGTCAGACACTCAACTTGCTCTGAGTCCTGTTACAGCCACAGCAGCTGAAGAGCTGTAGTCTGAACTCTTAGAGAACAGCTTCCTCTCTGCAATTACCTCGTCACAGCACAAGTTAAGCAAGTACCATCTAACCTCACGGGCTCTGCATTTCTACCTTGTCCTGTGCTCTGTATTTGACATTTCCAACGCAAAACAGGTCGGAAACATTTGCATTTTACAGACCAATACTTTCCTGTGCATTTATTTTCAGTTTGCTTCAAAATCTTAACTGCAAAGCTGACTTTTGAAGGTGAAGCTGCAGCTCACTGGGGCAACCACTTCTGTATTTTTTGGCTTGCAGCGCAGCACATCTGTCACCCAGGCACTGCTGCCATCCCGCCCAGGAGAGCTGCGTTACAGCAGCGTGTGGGGTGCTCCCCTCTGCCTTGCAAAGAGCCAGCACTAATGTGGATGATTTGATAACTTGCTTTGGCAAGCTACCTTTTTAGAGGCTCAGAGGCATGAATTTGAAAGGGAAAACCAGATCCAGCATGTGACACTGGGGAAATAAGTAGGAAAGGAAAAAAATGGCACCTGATGTGTGTAATGCATTTAGAGGATTATCTCGGCCACAAAATGGTAAATCAGTTGCAAACAAGTAGGTGGATTTGAGGGAATAAGAAGGGCTAAACAGTACAGTCTTTGCCCTGAATGTTTATACAACATGCATAATTTTGTCAATTGTCTATTATTTTTGGATTAAGCCTTGAGGGATCAATCCTCCCTTGTGCTGTATGTCACCCGGGGAACGTGCTGCTTGGTGAGCGCTCCAAACTTAAAATGCCCTTTTCACAAACATCTCAGGCAAACTAAGCAATGGGTTATCCAGCAGGGACCATATCTCAATCCATGCTTTGAAATTAGATGATAAAGTAGTGCCGAGAGATACTGGGCATCTACAAAAATAATTTGAGGCGAGCACGTTGCATAGCCTAACTAGTAGGTGACAGAATGGAGCTGGGTGCTTGGACAGGAATAAGGAGGAGCTGGTGTGAGGTTGGAGCATTCTTGCATTTTTAGCATCCCTTCCTTTGGTTTGCCAGTGCAGATATTTAAGATGTGTAAACTCCATAGGGCAGAGGGTGGCAGATGCACAGCCCTGCAGAGACAGTGCAGTGACCTGGCAAAGGCCTGAGCTTCCAGCTCTTTTGGAAATGAAGTGCATCCCAGGGACACAACTGTTTCTCAGGGCACCATTCAAGTGGTAAATAGATCTGCTCTCTGTTTAAGTGGTTTCTTATTTCAGTGTTGGACACAGTGTTTTTTTTCATTTCACGACACTGCACTTGCAAATGCATTTTGGGGATTGGAGCCACTGCTAAACTGCAAACGTTTTAATCAGTGACTATCGGCTTCCTCTTGTTCATTTTACCTGTGAGGAACAACTCAGCAATGAGTGATTAAAACTGCTTCTAAATACTTAATAGTGAGACAAAGCATCCTCCTTATTAAAGCTTTCTAAGGACACACTTTATATTCAAAAGCATCAGATTTGTCACTAAAGAGAAATCTGCTACACTTAAGGAAGGGAATTTTGCCATGTTTCAGTCTGTGCAAGTAAAAGAACTCCTGTTCTTGAACTCAAGCATGTATCTTAACACATCTCTATCACATTGTCTGTTAAGGACATATATTTTTTATCAAAAATTTGCTCTGTGTTTCAGGGCAGGAGGACTACGATCGGCTACGACCACTTTCTTACCAGAACACAAACGTCGTCTTAATTTGTTACGATGTCATGAATCCCACTAGCTATGATAATGTAGTAGTTAAGGTAAGAGGCTTCCATAACTGCTTCAGACTTTTATATGAGGTAAATATGCCAAATGTATGACAAGATTCAAAAAGCTGATGGCTTTTAGTAGCCCAAGCCCAAAGCTTGCCAGTGCCCAGGCCATTCATCGTGCACTGAGCTCTGGGCCACAGTGCTCAACTTGGGATGCACCTCTTGCGGGGTCACCGTGTTCAGGACTGGGCTCTGCAGTGCACAAAAGCATCACAAACCAAGCACAGAATCACTGTTTAACCTATAGCAATGTCATACAACGACTACTTACCAGTATTTTAAGTATACTTCCATCATATACATTTATACATCAATACATAGCAGTTATGACTTCTGAATGTGTCTGCAAATAGCTCATTTTGTGCCCCAGCACTAGAATAGGGACTTTCAGCTCTAAAATTGCAGCGTATGTTAAGTGCTGACTCTGTTCCTTTATTGTTTTGATTTCGGGGGGCAGAAACAAGGATGTCAAAGCTGTGCTCTCTCCTCTCAGTGGTATCCTGAGGTGAGTCACTTCTGCCGCGGGGCCCCTCTCGTCCTGATCGGCTGCAAGACAGACCTGCGGAAGGACAAGGAGCAGCTGCGGAGGCTGCGGGCCTCTCAGCAGGAGCCCATCACCTACAGCCAGGTAAACACAAGCACAGCCAGAGTGCTGCCTTCTGCACGGGAGCTCAAGCACACGCATTGCAGTGGCATCGTTGCTAACAAGTTGCAACCACAGATACTCCACAATCAGGTGAACACAACATCTGGATTGTCAATAATTTGTAATCTGCATTAACGGGGTTCTGTAAGCGCTTTTGACAGTGGTCAGATCACTGCCCAGTTTTTGTACCAAAGCAAGGAGAAATTTGGTGAGTGTTTTGCATATCCTGGAGCATCGGAAAAGACACTAATAACTAAGCCTAGCATCAAGACTAAGCTTTTCTTTCCAGGCTAAGGAGAACAGCAAGTGTTGGTCATTTGTGTGTCTCTTCTAGGCTCATTACATCTCATTCTTGCTTCTTTCCACTGCTGGGTCATTACTGTTATAAATTGGTAGCCCCCAAAAACTTGGTGAGACTCCCTCCTTAATTCTTGTTACAGGGCATTGCTCCCATCACTGACACGTTGATCAGGGTTGTAAGAAAGCCCAGAGACACTAGGATCCATGTTACTGTATTAAAAATATCAGCTGTTCTGGGAAAAAAGTGTTTTGCAAACCATATTTAAAAGTAAAGCATTTCAGGGACAATAGGAAAAACATCTCCAAGGCTTTTCCTCGGGCAAAAAGTTTCTTTATCAGTATCTTACAATTTATTAGTAGTACCACTTATGCCTTAGTACTGGATCAGGAGAGGCAGCTTCTTTCTTCCCCATCCCACCTCCCTTCTTCTCCCAAACTGCAGGGTTACGTCTCTTGTTCGCTTTTATTCTTTGCAGGGAGAAACAGCTTGTCAGCAGATTAACGCAGAAGTTTATCTGGAGTGCTCAGCAAAATGTCGTGAAAACGTAGAAAATGTTTTTAAAGAAGCAACAACCATTGCACTAAATGCCATGAAAAAAGCCAAACGGCAAAAGAAACGGACAGTGTGCTCAATGCTCTGATACAGACTGCTCCGAGCGTCGCAGCCAAGCGATTCACCTTTCAGCAGCAGATAACTTTAAAGACCTTTTCCCTACCCCTCTTAAATATTTTTATTCCTGCAGTGATTTTTAAGTTCTAACTTTTTAACATTTGTGCACTTTTGTTGAAGTGCTCTAAGTTTTCAAAGCTCTTTATTCAAGTTAACGGATGGCACTTACTGTTGTCCCTCCAGCTTTTGCTCCTAACCAAAAGGAACCCCTGAGTTCTTGGATCCGCAGTAACCTGCAGTGAGCAGTGACTGCTACTGTCTGACTTGGTTAGGTTTTTCTTCTGGAAATTAGCCATGGTTCATTTTGGCTATAATTTATTGCCTTGGTTAAATAAATTTAAGCAGAAGAGATAGAAAGGCCACTTCTCTCAGAAGAGATGTTAGAGCAGCACCTTTAAAGAGAAGTTAATTTGAAAATGACTAATATAGAACTTAATTTACCCAAAGATAGTGAACTGAGTTAGCCTTGAGCTGTCCCTTAGCCTGTACAGGCAAAACAGCCCCTGCTTTATCACTGCAGCAGCTTGCAGAGCTGCTCCTTGAGAGGACTCCGAGCAAGGTCTGGTGCCCTAACAGAAAGGGCTGCTCATTAAACACACACAGCAGTTGCTCCAATTCAGAAATGGAGTTATCATAGAAGTTAGAAAAACTTGGAACAGCTACTCTGTGCAATATAAAGACAGCTTTAAAATAAACTGCAATTTATTTAATACGACAGATGCACCTGTGCGTGCTCGCTAGGGGCAGAGAAGTACTTAACTGCACAACTCCTCTTCGTTAGCTGATGAAATAATCGCTACTACTGTGAAATAAATTCTGCCTTTGTGATGAAGGTGTCAGTTGGCTGTTGAAGGACATTGATTTCTCCCCCTAAACAACCTTGTACCTATGCCTCAAATCTCAATAAGGACATTTGTCGTTACATGATAAAAGGGCTATACGTTACCTTACCTAGCAAGTAACTGAAACACATTAACAGAAAGTTACTGCCCTTGCTCTCAGTTCCATGGCTGGAATCCTTCCTTGTTTCCAAGTTCTCAAACTGCAGAATCCAATTCCTTACCCTGCACAGAGCCCTTGCAGCCCTGGGCACCAGTTCTCCTACAGGGATCCTGCAGGTTCCAGCATTGCTCTCTCAACAGAACAGTTTACATTTCACAACTGGAAAGTTCAAAAAAACAAAACAAAACAAAACAAAACAAACAAACAAAACAACTCACAGTTTGCAGTACAATAGAGTTAATGTAGAAATATACAGCCAAACTAGCAGAAAACTTGTTCAAAATAGGCAAATTGAAATTTATTGTTCATGCCCACAGGACAGCAACACTGTAAAGGTAATTTTGCCAGCCTTGCAGCAACAAAATAATCGATGAAACCATTTCAAGTCTGTAGTGCATATGTATTTCTTTGTGAGGACTCTCACTGGGACAAGGGCATCATTTTCCAGTCACATTCTGTCAAAGCCCTTTGCCCAATCTGGACATTGTGCCAGCACAAAGAGAAGTCCTACAGTTGAGAAGTGAGCTGCTCTATGCAGCACCTGCTTTGGAAGCTGGGTTTAGGAGGTACAGATGTTAAAACACCCAAACAAGCTCTATTTGAGTGAGTGAGTTCAGTCCAAGAAGCACGAGGAGTCAAGGGTGAGGGTCAGTATTTCCCCTCAGGCAAACATCTGAGGGAGTGTTTACATTCTCATAACTCTTGCCACCTTGATACCCCCTAACGGTATCTGAAGGAGGGATTTAATACTTAGGCTCAGTCTGGCTTCACCTTTCCAGAATGGCCCTGGAAGCAAAAAATACCGAGAGCAGAACAGGAAGGGCAGGGGCTGTTGCACCTAACGTCCTGCTGAGGGTCATTTTCAGGAAAAGAAGGCTCAGCAAATAAATGTTCCAACCCAAAGGGCAGGGTGTTTATTATTAAAAAGGAGCTGAGCCAGCTGCATATTAGGCAATTTATTTTAAGTCTTTTCCAGGCCCAGACAAATTACTTGGTCTCTCTGGAAGAAAGTTAGCAGACCTCCTTGCCATTCAACAGCTAGTTTCGCTTGCTGTTGTTTTTAGAAGATTTCTCTTCATTAAATAGCTTTTTAAAAGTGTATATAGCAGCAGTACAGTTCAAAGATGGGACTTTTTCACAGTACACACAGGTTAATATTGCCACTGAAAGTTTGCCTTAAACAAATGCCTTTAAAAATAACATTCGGTCTGTATTACTGAGCAACCTGGAGCGTTTATAAAGCTTTGCAAATCCAATACCCAAAATATTTAAATAAGTAAACTGGAGAGGAAAGCATCAGAGATAATTCCAGTTCTGGAATAACAGTAGATCCCACATTCTCCCAGTACTGACACTCCTCTGGCAGGTGCATGCTGCTGTATATACAGGAAAAAAACAAAAACAAACATGTTTGGTATTAAATATACATAAATAGCAGAGCCATGCTTGCTTAATACTGAGTCTGTGCCGGAGAGTCCCTGTCCCTCGGCGGACATGGAGTCGGTTCCGCTGGGCCCATTCCCGGCGCGGCCACACCGGGACCCCGCGCCGGCCTCCGTCCCCCGCTGCCGCTTCACAGCGGCTTCACTTTGTCCTTGTTTTTCTGCAGTTTAGTGTGCACCACTTTGAGCGTAGTGAGGAAGTTCCCGAGGAAGAGCAGCAGAAACGTGAAAGCCAACACAAAAACCTGAGGAGGGGGGAAAAGACAAAGAGCAGTGAGGCAGAGCGGAGCCCGGCAGGAGCAGGGAGCACCGAGCAGG